GTTATCGAGAGTGGTCATTTGTCTAGTTGCATATGCCTAGGGGATGCAATGATTCTTATTTTAATTGAATTTTCCGCTAATAATGTCTCCTTATCCACTCTGCGTTTCCTCTTTCAACACCTTCAGCATCAGGAGGTATATTTGAACATCGCGGATTGTCTTTTTCTTTCAATGCATGGGCTCGACCATTTGCTCAAAAGTAATGGTCTTCTTATTCTAGGTGTTTACAGATGTAGAAGGAAATTGCCGCGGCATAGGGTTTCCAATGCCTTATTCGAACTATATTTCCTCTAACCAGTCGACCAGCTCAAAGTACAACAATTTATACCCGATGGATTATCAATTGTTCCCCCTCTTGCTGATTGTTTGCTTCGTGCCTCGATCACAATTTATCTCTAAATCTAACGTTCACAATGTGATATTTGAACTCAATTTGCAATGTGTCTGATGAACATGTCAGAAATCTAGTATTTTTCACATTGTTGTAGTAATTATTTGAAGAAATTTCGATCATGTGAATGTGAATATGTGACGAGAATGACAATTGCATGAAACCAAAATTGGTTCCTATGAGCAACTGGCAACACTGTTTACGTGTAAGGTATATAGATCATGACATGAAGCCCGTTACGGTTGAGAATGAAATTCTTAATACCAAATTTCTTGTGAATTCTAAAATGTTCTCGTTTACAAGGGAAGAAAAGTTTCAAAAGTGTTTTTATTTTTCATTCCTTATAGAGCCCCCAAAAGGGAATTCCTATAAATTTGCGTTTATTGCAATAAATAATTTTTGTTCACATAATATTTCATAATTAGAGAACTTCTGTTCTCATTCCTGTTAGTGCATATTAAAATGGAATAAGTAGTACTTTTTATCGAAATACATATAGAAATAATGAGGACCATCACTTCTGGTTATATAGAAATCGATAGGATGAACCGATTTATATTATAACAAACTACAAATATCATTAGATTATGCTTGAATACATTTTGAAAAACTTGATTGAAATATTTCAAAACACTTTCCTAGATTTCTAAATAATTGACCAGAGTCATTAAAGAAGTAAAATTTTGTTCGGTTTTGAACAAGAAGAAAACATACCTACTCTATACTATACAAACCAAATTTATTCGTTCTATTTGGATGTTTCCTCAAAAAACCCAAATCCATAGATTTCTATATATTTCTTAGGAGTCGTTCATCATTTGTTTTATCGCTTGGTGCATGCGCACGAAAGGAAATCATACAATGAACTATGAAACAGAAATATACTTCTACGCACTGCGAATGTGTGCAATAAATAAATCGTAGGCGGCAAAACTGATAACGATAGAGGAGTGGTTATTTCTACCAGAGAAAAATATAGAAAATAGGAATATTTTCGATATATATAGGTAAAGCAGTTGGTCGATCAATGAATATGACTGTGAGGAATACAATTTCATAAAAAAATACTTGGTGTTTGCCTAGTAACCATGTGTTGCCGTTTTCGGAACACAATAAAAATAATCGAATCGTGAAACGTTATTTTAATCATGATCATTCATCAAAATATGAATGGTTATCGTATAGTATAAATCAATACTGCCTTTGCCCAAGTTAGTGGCAGTTAGAGTCTGGTTCAAAGGCGTGTGACAATATTTGACAAACTTTTTGGTAAAGATGGTGCCTTGGAAGTGACAATTTGGTTTCGAATTTTTAAGGCATGGCATGCCCCCTCTCCCTGAAAAACTGCCTATATAGATCCGCCAGTGTTTCAAAAACTTCAAGATTTATATTCTATATAGAAACAAAAGCTTATTCAGGGTCTAAATAAATATCAACTCATCATCATAGCTCAGAAAATTATATTTTTGTAAAAACATGGTGTGTGCCACTGCTAAAATTTATACCCACCCCCATAATAAATTATTGTTCTTTTATCACAAACAACATTATAATGACCACGATCATTGAAGTTATAAATTTTATGCTTGTAGGTGCTTCTATACTCGTTATTGACCAACAAACAATTCTGTAACTTGATCCTCTATAATTATCATTTGTGTATGTTATATCACCCTCGGTGCTGGCATGAAAGAAACCCCAATTGGTATATGGGATGAAAACACCCCTCAGTTATGCCGAACTGCATTTAGCTTAAATAGGAGCTTACAACTGACGGACAACAAAAGTACAAAAGTAACAGTTCCGATTCCGATTCGCTATGGCCCTCAAGAAGCCGATAAGGGTTTGTTTGACATCTCTATTTTTGTATTTTCCCGGTGATTTGTGTGTCGACAAGGACCTTGTATTCGTGGTTGTGAGGCAGTCTATTGACAGATGCATTTTACATGTTTTTCTTGGACACATCAGGTACACATCAGCTGTTCTTGAATTTACAATCTCATGAAAACTATCGAAAGAATAATGCATGGTATTCAACATAAAACAACAGATTTCTTGAAGGATATTGCCATAGATAGCGATTGAAATCGGTATAGGTTACCAATAACCGAATTGGAAACATCAGCATGCACAACATTTTTGATTATTTTTGCCATTAATTCAAATTTACCTATTAATTCAAGGCTATCAAAACGTCCCTCTTCTTCTCTGTTTACGATTCTTCCTCTTGGGAAGTCAGTATGAAAACCTATATCAAAATGGACAAATAAAGATCGATGTATATACTTTTACACTGATAAAAAAACAGCGCATATAACCATTTCAATAATGTTTCGACTGATGGGGCACGAATTTCTTGAGATAGTGTAATAGACATAATCATTTTATATAGATTTTGTTGCTTCCAGGAATTCAAGAATTTCAAAAATAATGAACGTGAGTTATAAATGGAAGTCCATTTATATTAGTGCTCAAAGTGGAATAGGTAGTATAGAAGTTGATGAGAGGAAAATCAACTACTATAAAAAGTCATCTTTACGAGTCCACGATATGTTGTGGAGATGACTTTTTTATTGAGTTTTCTCTAATCTACCTCAGCAGTAATGTTTAAGGTATCAAGGAATGAAAATAATTGAAGAACTTTTTTAAGATCTATACCTATATCTATCAATACAAAAACAGGTGAATAAAATACCTACATGAACACCATATTTATAGTTATTTTATTGAGTGAGTATAATACTTGTACCAAGAATACACTTTTCGAGTCTATATATCCTAAAAATTTTCATTTCACCAAAATTTTCCCTCCATTTTTGCTGGATAAATATATAGCTCCAGATATTCAGTAGCGGTGAAATTACCAAAATGTTAACATTGGCTATTGCAGTGTTGAAAAGGGAAGGATATGCCCGCATCAGGACACATTGTTGGATAATCCCTATTCATTCATCCCCAGTTTGCTGTTGGTTCGGTTTGCTTTACAAATTCAAATCGGACTATATGGTCTATTATTGTGCAGTTATTGCAGATTCTGAATATTCAAAATTTGAATAGAATCGTTTATACGCGCTATATATATAAAACGATGATGATAAAGCTATTTTGTAAAATGAAAATATAACTCTACAGTTTCATGTTTAAACAAAATTAATTGGAATTATTAAAATTTTTCACTTTCAATTTTCCAATATATTATCTATATAGCAGTTCGTCATTCTTATACGGAAAATAGTTATTCCATAAGTATGGTTATATAATGGCTAAAAAACCACCAATTATCTATTCTGGAACATATTGCTACGAGACTATACAGGGTGTTCCTGTTCTTATGAACGTATGTCCTAAAAGTCTTGACTTTTGAGATACAAGGTGCGATAAAGTTTTGAAAAATATTCAGTTTTTTTATGAAAACTAAGACAATATTGTATACATCTGTATGAAATTTGGTACACGTCTTTTATGCATCAAGGTGCATTTTCTGATGTACGAAAATTTTCATTTTCTCTACCAGTGGCACCGTTACGGGAAAATTATATATTGTTTATATTTTACTTGAAAGTGAGCAACGACGAAACATTTTTAATACAATGCTATAAAAAGCTATTTAATTATTTACAAAAAAGATAGTCTGTGGATACTCGATAGAACGCTTCGTTTTCGAGACAAAACGGAAAAAAGGAGACCATCAGACTTCAAATTTTGATGTTTATAAGTATATACTTACTCCATTCAGGACATCCATTGCTGGATAACCGCCGTATGTAACATTTCGAAATTTGTATTCCGATTCAGTCACATAGCAGACTGAATTTTGCCATCACGAATAGCTATACAGGGTGGACAAAACATAATCTTTGCATATTTTCGACATTGACACCCTGTATCTCAAAAGTTAGGACGTTTACGACATAATTATGTTCATATGAAGTTTGATGCTTGAAATGGGTCGAAGAATCGGCCCCTTAGCATATCATTAAGGAACACCTTGTATACATTTTTCGGAATACACTTTGGCGAAGGATCTCAAAAGGTTATGAAAGTGTCTTAGGTCAGATATAAATATCGGCAGGTAGCTCGACTGTGGTAGTCGAGGTGGTATAGTATTAGTCAGAGTGAATAGTTAAATCAGTTAGAGGGTTATAATTATTGTGATTTTGTATCGTGTATTGTAGACTGTAGTATGTTTGTATTTATAAATAAATCGTTTTATTTCCTGAGTTCTAGTTCTAGTATATATAAGTATATGATATATATCCAAAAGTGCGTACTTTTTTCCCGTGGGAAAAAAGAAAATTTTGAAAAGCCACATTTTATAACCTGTTAACAGAGATGAAATTTCAAACTTTTTTGCCGTCACAGAAGAAAAAATTGAATTCTATGTAATTTAACTGATCATCAGCCCTCCAAGGAATGACGTTGAATTGTGAGAAACCTTGTATGGATTGCATACGAAATGTCAATTTTGTACGTATATTATATTTCGCATAATAACTTCTTTGGCATATTTATAAAATATATGATATCTGAGTGTATATGACCGTCAAAAAAATTAAAAACAAGGATCAGAATCATATTTTCTGATATCATCTGATTTTGTTTTCTTTACCTTTGTGTGCCATGTCGTCTACGGAGGTGATCCCAGATGGCCATGGTGCCACCGTGGCTCCGATTTGCTGTGCCGGGAGAATGATGGTGGCTTCTTAAAGACACAAAACGCTCAATCTGTAATCAAAAAACCAACGATCCAATAAGTACTAATTCAATCTTTACTGGTGTTTTCAATGTTGGGGCATATTTTTCAATAATGAAATATACAGGGTAATTCAAAATTCGATGTGAATATTTCAAGGACGTATATTGTTGTGATCAAAATTAGACTTTTTTCTTCGAGCGGCCTAGCATGTGGTATTTCTATGACACTAAACAGGCAGGAAAGGTGTACTTTATCTGCCTAGACAGGAAAAGTTTGTTACTATGCGTTCCTAGTCATTTGAATGAAATTGGTAATCAAAATTGACCTAGACATTGGGCGAACACAAAATGATGGAGTTTTTCATGAAAAAATTACTCTAAATTGATGGATTTATTACATTTGAAGAAAAAATATATGATTCACACGACAGCAAATGAATGTAGATTGTCTGCCTTGGCTGAATTCCTGGTCTCGCTACGCTCGGCTATGAACTATCAGCCGCAGCAGTCAATCTACTATACTTTGCTGCCTAGTGAAACAAATAACTATTTGAATCATGGAAGCCATCCACCCTGTCTTTTTCCTCAACAACTTATTGTTCCTCTGTAAATTGAATATCTTCATATGTCCTGTATGTACTGATGTGTCTGAAGATGGCTGTTTGAGCCAAAACTAGTCACAATACATTTTGTTCAATATAATTTTTGTGGTCGACCGATTTAGTGTTATTCTGTTTTTTTTATTTGGAATTACTATTTTTTCATAAACATGTGCCACTGTAAGTTAGGTAAAGAAAAGATTATCTGAAATTGTGATCATAATAACGGATCAAGTGCATTTAACCCATTGCGTTCGAAAACAATGTCTTGATTCCCCCTTTCGTTGAATTCAATTTTCTGGCAAACGGTTAGTTGTATGCGAATTAAGAAAATGCCAGAGACCAAATCCTCATATTTTTCAATCGCCTACAAGAACATGCTACATTCAAAGTCACAGTTTCTCTTTTTGAACATGAAATTTGGGCCAATACAATTGTGGACTCCCCTCCAACTACTCCAAAACTGGCTTTTCATCATTTTTGAAGCAAGAAGGAAATGAGGTGTCTGAAAAGACAGGGGCATGTGGGGCATGCCAATTTTCAGAAAATTTGATCCATTATTTTAGTCACAATTTTCAGATAATCTCACCTTACTCAAAGTGGTTGTAGCTAGGAGGGAGTAAGTATACTTTAGGACAGATTATATAAAGAAAAAGTCTTATTCTGATCCCAACAATATGTCCTCAAAATATTTACATCGAATTTTGAATCACTCTGTTTAAAGTAAGAAAGAACTTCCTATACGTACACTGTTGATTATTCTCGAAATACAGGGCGGGAAACTTGATTTGCATAAATTTTAGTATATCTATATAAAATCATGGAACTTCCAAACTTACCAAAACAAAACATTCATGCATAGTTTCGTAAGCATTCGTATTCACACTGTTTTATGAATTTCCCAATTCTAAGAAGAATAATAGTTATAAATTACAAAAGGAAAAAAGTTGTAGAATTTAGCTCCAGGTAGGGAGGCAAAAAACCGTGAGCTAAAGTCTAATGTTTTTCCCGTGTATATCAACACTTTTTTTTTGTGACAGGAAGAAGGACGAATCAATATTGGGAAGGGAATATTACATTATATTAGGATCAGAAAATTATCGATGTGTAATTTGAAGTTCTTAACGTTGCAGGCATCTTATTTATCACTCTTCTGAAGTAATCAAATATCTCTCAGTCTAATTCTGTGACTTGATTAGTAGCCGCGAAGTGGAATGGAAGATAGAAGGACTTATACAGTTCTTTCTCGGAGATGGTGTTATTGGCTTATTTTTCGGAAATAGTCCAACAAAAGCCGTCAACAATGCATATATCCGGGAAAAATTACTGACTCTTTTTACGTTGGAAAATAGGAATTTATGAAAAGTTACATTTTATAACCTGACAAAATGCATCAGTACATCAAGGAGAAGGGCATTTTCTGAGTTATTCTGTTTTTACTATTCAGTCAATTTGCTTTGTATAGCTTAAAAATGCCCTATTGTTTCAATCTGTCCCTCAAACAGAGACCCATTTATTCACAGCGGCTGGGGACTTCTACAAACCCAAATGATGCTCAAGTATTTTATCGCCCTCCATACATTAACTCTCAAATCCCATAAATACCTCCTGCAGATAAATTGTTACTAATTAGTAGATACACCAGTCACGGAGACCTTTTCTCCGTCCCTTCATGCTTCTGGCTTCTGGCTGATGCCGAACACAACCGGAAGACCGAACAGCACGCAGTTTCGGACTTAATTTCATTAACTTTATCAATAACAGAATCGGAAGGGACCGGGAGGTATTTGAACATTAAACTCCCCCGTCAGATTCCATCGGTATATCGGAAGCGACGGAAAGCGAGAGAAGAGAGAATGTTCTGCATAAGGGATGCCAAGGGTTGAAATCCAGATTCAGACACAGACGGTATAGTTATGTCGATTTTCCCATCAACGTACTTCGAATTGCATTTTAGTCGTATTCAATCACTAGTTGGAATTAAGGATATATATATATATATATAGATATAATCTAGGAGGAGGAAGAGAGACTTTATTGTCTATACAGGGTGTTCTTAAATGTACATAATGATTTAGGTAATTCCTTGTCTATGATGTTTAGGACCGAAAGTTCTTATATGAAGATGTGTTCTAACTTGCTGCATTTCAGAGATACAGGAAGTTCAAGTATAAGAAATATCAATTGATTTTTTCATGACTACTGAATTTGGGCATTCATAACGGCAAAATGCGCAGTCTGGTTGGTGACTGGCAGATTCTCAAAATGTCAATTAGTTATTATACAGGGTGTAAATTTGAAAACTTTCAATGCGAATATCTTGCGAAATAAAAAAGTTAGAAAAACGCCGCTTGGCAAAAATGCTAAAGAGTTAAGGGGCACTATAGAACCACCATATTTCAGTGAAGGGATGAGTCACCCTGACAGCGCAACACACCCCAACTTTGAAATGTCAAATGGCACTACCTCTTTTGTGATACCTCAAATGAACGGTCTCAGTCAGTAGTATTCACCTGTACAAGACTTTTTTTCCACCCACAACAGGGTGTACGAAAAACATTAATTCGAGGGTCTAAATTTGAAAACTTTCAATGCGAATATCTCGCTAAATAAAACAGTTAGGAAAACGCCGTTTGGCACAAATGCTACAGAGTTAGGGGGAACTAGAACCACCATACTTCAGTAAAGGGATGAGTCACCCCGTCGGCGCGACACACTCCATCTTTGAAATGTCAAATGGCACTACCTCTTTTGTGATACCTCAAATGAACGGTCTCAGTCAGTAGTATTCACCTGTACAAGACTCATTTTCCACCCACTACAGGGTGAACGGAAAACATAAAGTCGAATAAAATAAAATGCAGAATGCCGATATATTCCAAGGGATGTGTTCCAAAATGTTAGAATGGCATTTAAACATCGATTATACTATTGCTTACAACAGAATGGAATGCATTTTGAACATCTGATCAAATAAAATATCCTTTTAACACAATTCATTTTATTTTATTCGACTTTATATTTTTCGTACACCCTGTAGTGGGTGGAAAAAAAGTCTTGTACAGGTGAATACTACTGACTGAGACTGTTCATTTGAGGCATCACAAAAAAGGTAGTGCCATTTGACATTTCAAAGTTGAGGTGTGTCGCGCCGACGGGGTGACTCATCCCTTGACCGAAATATGGTGGTTCTAGTTCCCCTTAACTCTTTAGCATTTTTACCAAACGGCGTTTTCCTAACTTTTTTCTTTCGCGAGATATTCGCATTGGAAGTTCTCAAATTTACACCCTGTATAAGTATATATACTCATACTCTTTTTAATTATGGTTATATATCAAGTAATCTCAATTTTTCGAAAACTGCTGCGTCCAATGCAATTGAAATTGGACAAGAGGAACTTTTTCAATTAAAATTGGATGATTCCAGTGGAGCAAAAAACACTAAACGGCGCCACTGGAATTGACGTGATGAGCTGACTCATTCATTGTTGTCTCTATCTCCGTGATTTACTAGACTATATGAATATATCTTGAATTTTCATTCGACATTAACTACCTATATATATAATGTGCTTATATATCGAAGGTGAAAGTATAGAAGTTTTTTCCTAAAAAAGTGTATACCTATATATACTGAAGTTTTTGTTTATGCACTTAGGACTTTATAGTTTTTTTTTCAATATAATAATACTCATATATGTATATGTGTAAGGTTCAGTCAGAGACAGTCATCAGAAATTTCCATCGATATACCTTCAAGCGACGGAAAACGATTGTCTGCATTCATCAAGCCAAGAATTGAAATCCTGCATGTCATTAGTTGGATTATCTGATTGGATCATGTGGTTGAAATTATATGTATATAGAGGCACGATTCTCAAAATAGATGATTGTTTTTATTAGAAACAACATCGCTCATTAGAATGGACGACTAATAGGTAATAACAAAATAATGAGCATCGCGTTTTCAAGTTTGACCCGAAAATAGCTCTGGTGATGATGATGTCCATAAGTAAGTCAATATCAAGTCTAATATAGATAAAAAATGTTATGTAAAATTTGTCATGCATAAAGCATTTTTTATATTTTGATCAGTGCCGGATTAAGCCAGCGCGGGCCTGTAGCAAATTCTATCAAGAGGCCCTTGGTTTGCTTTAGGTTATCAAGTTTAGAGTATTGAATAAAATAAAACGAAAATATTACAAATAATCTTCTATATATGGATATACCTATTTAGGCAAATTTAGAGATAACACTTTCAATATCGACTTCTTCAAGCAAATCATGCTCTATTTATCAATGTGAGATGATTGAGACGTTGGCCCATCGTGTTCCCTATAACTCATTTTCAATACGTTTTAATCCTAAAAAAAAAACGTTCGCCACTTCAGTTAGCGATCATAATACACGTAAATTCGCAAGGCAATTTCATATATTTGGGAAACATGATTTTATAGATTTATTCAATGAAAGTTTATGAAATTGTTGTTCCAGAGGCTCCTGTTTGGTGCTCTGAATGACAGTACCCACATTTGTTTTGGGCAGCTCAACGATCTACATACTAATTCGTCGCTTATGCTATAGTTTCCAGATCATCTGTGTGAGCACTGACCATTATTGAGGATTTTTACAAAATCTCTTTCGCTCGCTGTCGAAATACTCCAAAAAAAACTATGTAATTTTATGAAATACTCTCAAACGTTTAGTTGAAGCAGACAGTACGTTATCATTAATGGAAATAAATACCTGAACTTCGAAACCTGTCCAGGTGTTTGATTGTCAACAAAGTCGTCGAGTGTATATATAGAGAGCCGCAGAAATGGTCGTACTTTGTATATCGCTTGATTCATCCCTATGTTTATTGCTAATAGTATTCTTCACAGTCGTACAGATCTGATGCAATTTTTTTTTTCAGTAAGACAGGCCGGACGAGGCCGGACAGGTGTTGGAGCGCGGGGCCCGTATAGCATTTGCTACTCTTGCTATACGTGGCTAATCCGGTACTGATTTTTATTGCCTTCACTTTTTTCCGCGGTTTTCTCAATTCACGAAAAAGTAACTCATCTGTGCATGGTCAAAAAACAGTTTCCATTGTTTGTTCGATGAGGTGAACATGATGGTTTCGATATGTTCCTACCTATATATATAGTAGGTATATGTATACCTATATACTTATAGCCACTAAAATATTGTGATAATTTTTATAGTTTTGGGGGTACCTATATACCTATATATGTACCTTCATACTTTTGATGAAATCAGAATTCATAGACATTTTTGGGAATTCTAGATTATACTCATTTGAATCTGAAATTTGGTAATTTCAACACTCTTTCAATGTCGATATATTTATATATACAGGGTGTCCCATAAAATAGTGCAGTAATCTCGATGCTGTCGAAAGATTTCATTATACAAATAGGAAATATATACACTCCTACAAATGACTTTTCTATTTTTCGCCAATTATTTGTCATCAATAAAAATACACTAAAATTTCATATTGGGGTTAAAAAACCTCATTCTGGGGTTAGTAACAACAGCTGACTATTTGCCACAACTGATGACACCTTTATCGTAAAAGGTTTATTATTATTCATAGCAGAAATTGTTTAGCCATAACTAATAATTTTAGTTGTACTGCGTCGTTCGGGACCGCCTTGCGTCTCTTCGGGACCCACCAACAAAAATTGCATCTTGCATCTGTATGTCTTTCTGTTTCATCATTTGAACTTGTATTTTAATAGTGGATAGATCGCACGGTCGTCGAGCTTAGACAAAATAAATAAAATAATTGTCTAGTGTAGCCGGGAGCGTCGTGTTCTTGCTGGTTCACTGCTCTGTGTGTTTTCTAATCACTGTTTTGTGTTTTTTTGCACTTCGCGCTGAGCCATTTGGCATTTGGTTGGCAAAATAATAATTCGCAGTTTACCATCGTTATCTGTGCGTCACTAGTTATCAGGTTTAGGTACCTATTCACAATTCAGTTCAGTTTACGACGGGCGACGGTGAGAAACGTCCAACCGACGTCACGTGTACACGGGTGTATATTTATAATTCCCTCTCTTCTTGCTGAGCTGTGGCCTGTGGCACTTACGATGTGTGGTGTATTCCTGTTCATGATTCCATTGGAAATTGGAAGGAAAATGGCATACAAACTGTTATTATTAGAATGGGGCCTTGATTTTAATTGATATAAAACTATTAAGTTGCCAGAATGACTAAATTATATTTCCAACGTTACTGAATCACTTTTAATAGTAACTAGATTCCATTTCAGTCACAATTAAATATTTGATTTGCAACAACACACTCATTATTAACGTCAGAAGGAATGAGTAATTGCCCCAACTGGGATAATTTGTTGTGATAACAACCATATATTGAAACAGTACTAACAATCTAATTGTCATAACTATGTATCTTGATTGTGGCAAATAAAACTTGGTATAATTCCTTAAAAAGGCTTATTAGTTACCACAACAACGTCGTATAGATGACTCAACTCAACTTTTCATTTGAGGCAAATAGGCGTGTCCAGAAAAACAGAATTAGTTATGGCAACAACTAATGCTTGCTGTCCCCTATCGTACTAAAAAGTGTTTCTGCAGTTACTAATTTCTTAGTAACGGCTACAAATTTTTTCCCTCAGTGTAGTTTTAGATACTCAATTATTGACTAATACTATATACCTATTCATATAATATTGAATTATTATTAAGTATACCTGATGAGAATAACTTACTTTTTGAACAGAATGAAAATAAAGGTGTAACTATTGCACGGAATGGTCCCGGAAACTAATGGTAGATGCCTTCTCAACAAGCTTCAGTTTTCCAAATACAGCACCAACAAATCAACGAAAAAAACAGCCAACAGTCAATCAAAGTCAACAAACACCGATTCGGCCCTCTCAATCGTAAACGATATCGAAGAAATCAGATTACATCGACCAATTAAGCAATTCCTCGATACTTGACTAGATAGGTAAGTGTTGACGCTCAATGGAGCAAAAACGATTGATGCGCGCTCGAGAGCAAACGGTCAACTAACCAAATATGTTTTTAGTGCGACCCTACACAGTACACGAGTTAAACTGAATCGAATGATCACGGCATACCCTCCACGAATCTATCACAGCGAACATACGACACCGAGCGAGCCGTAACAAGTACACCTTCCTAGGTGTTTACGACTGTCAACAGATACGCCGCGTCGACCAATACCGAGCCCCAGCACGGACAGTACGCCAATCGGCTGCCCGTGTGGGCGTGGCCCCAGCATCGATCGCGCTGGTTAATCTACTCATTGGGGCGGAAGGCTTTTCTGCCGTTAAGAGGGCGCCACGAGTATTGGGGGTGAGTGGCTGCAGGGTTAACAGAGGGTGCTAGTGCCGAACGCCATTTCTGGCGGGCTGTGTAATCTGATCGTTTCTGTCGAGGCGTTGCGGCGTGTTGGTTGGGGTTTCCGTTTCGGAAAAACAGGTAGAAATTGGGGTGGATGGTTTGTTTACGATGTCGGTTTGGGGAGTCAGAAGTCGCCGGTGGGTAAATATCGCGTTACCAGTCGTTAATGGTTTTAAGATGATCTGGTTACATGAATATGAGGGCGACCGTTAACAGGTCTTTCTTGGAAGGGCTCGTGTTGCTCGTTTATATCAGGTATCGGCTATAAAAACTGTTGATTCTATTTCAAGGTTCTTTATATAACGATCAAGTTCATGATAATTTCAGGTGTCTTCCTCAGACCAGTCACTATATAGCTAGATCATGCATGGTGGGTATGGTTAAAACAAATGTCATATATTAACGGCAAGCTCTTGAAAAATGGAGGAATACAAATGCAAGGTATACATAGACTAGGGCAAATGCAAAAATGGAGTAACCCATAAAATCTTCATACTTATAATCAACACTTGCGTCTCCGTCACCTCGATCTCAATATTTACCTTTTCATTCAACTAAATTTTGCTTGATGATTCAACAATTCCTTTTTTCCGTTATATAGGCCAGTTTTTTTTATGTTCCGGTTTTCACGAAAGGGATATCCTGTAATGTTCAGGGAACCTCGTGAGAACCAAGGGAAATAAGGTATAGGAATTGGTGTTCTTCTTAAATTTATGGAGGTTATATGCCTCGGGGAACACCTCCCTTGGTATTGTGTTGCAGAGCCTCGCTGTTCGTTGATGGATGAACGGGTCTTTGGAAAGAGATGCGCTCTGCAGGTCTCCAAAGTGCGACCACGAAGGGGTGCGAAGCCTCAACTCGAGGGGTTAATCTCGCGGGTACTGCCAATGGAGGAACAATTGTTGATATTTCAGAAGAGCATAGTCCATGAAAATATCTTCAAAATAGAGCCAGATCGCCAACTTTTCTATACGGTGTTCCAGAGAAGTAATTCTGTTTGCGTGAGCGAGGCATCACCCACGAGACGAATTGCACTTTTTTGGACAGAATACAACAGTTTCAGGGTATGTTTGGGTGCTGATGCACTCCAAATATGGGAACAGTATTCCAGGACAGGTCGGATCTGTGCCTTATAGATCATAAGCATGCAGATGACTGGAAGTTAAATAGCTCCTCTGGCTCGAAATAGAAAACCAAGTTTTTGGGATGCACTTTTAGCAATAATTTGATCTCACGTGATTTTCCCAAGAAAGGTTATTGCGCTGATAGTAATACCAAGCATTATCAAGTTTAGTTATGACCAATAAATGTTATCGACCATCAATCTACAGAAGGCTTATATTAATGTAAAATATTTTCGAATTCGATGTTTATAATTAACTGCTTTTTTAGTAATTGAATATGTTATATAGACACATATCCCCACATATTTTGATGGGATGGGGAAATTGCAATAAAAACATGAAATACTAAGATAGAAGAGGATCTGGATTGACATTCAAGTAATGTTAAATTTGACGGGCTGAATATTTGATAATAACTCGAGTCGTTAGATTTTTTCATTATTTTTCATAGCGATAAACAGGAGTTTGTTTTTTATTATTATGTAGCTCTGTTATTTTTTGGAATAAATTTATAAATAGCAAATGAATTGTTAGAGGAACATAATATTTTTTCACAATTGCCCCATATGTTCTTCTTTCTACCTTTATTGCCGTACCGTGGGGCAAATGTACCATATTGATGCAACTTTTTAAAACATATGTGAAATCATTTTCTTCTTTCTTTCTGAAAACACTCTTCAGTACCAGATGGATTCTATAGTTTAGGAATTGGTGAATTCAATGTGGTATCAATTTTATTTGACCTATTCAAATTTTATAACCGATTTGCCCCAGTCTACCTCAATATAGGTATATACTGTTTGAACTATGGGCAGTCAGAACACACTGACTCTAGCATGGGTATACCAGTACATCCAGGGACTAAGGGATCAAGTGAAGAGGCAGATTCACTATGCAGAAGCAAGTAAAGCGGTGAATGGCCCAGAACCCTCTTGTGGTCTTGCGAAAGCTGCAAAAGACAAGCAATAAATCATGGATGCATACCAAATCTCAAGAATGGTGGAAAAATTCGCCAAGAATGTGACAGGAAAATATTTACTGAGCCATACAAGAAGTCCACCTACAACTTTAGTGAGACTTCTCACAGGTTATTATTTTATATATATATATATAGGTATAGACTATAGAGTCAACAAACACATGAGTGCAATAGGTTTGCCTGAAGAACTTCTGTGCAGGAAGAGGGGGAAACATCAGCACTGTGACACTGTGAGTGTTTGTCAAGAGAGACTTATGTTCCTTAAGCTGGGAGAGAAAAAACCAATAGCCCATATAAAGATACACAGGGGATCTAGAAGCTATCCGCTATCCTATGATAGAGTGGAGAAAGGGATCAGGGCTATATGCTCAAAGCTGCAGAAAAGCTGACTTTGAGCGCCGATATCTCGAAAACCATCTGTCCTACGGGGCTGATTATGGTCTCATTCGATTCAGCAGGTCATTTTCTACTGAAGAAGCAATGATTCGCGTGAATTTCTGCCGTTTTCTGGCACTTTCGGCCGTCCGAAGATGGCTCGGTGACTATAACGTAGGCATCAGACACAATAAGTAGATTCAAAAAAGTCTAATCTAATCTAATATATAGACTATATATAGGGAATAACTCGATACAGAATATAATGAAGAAGAGCAATATTAGAACTGAGTATATACCCAGTCAGTGGCAGTATACCAAGGCACAGATAAACAAACCTTGCGGTCCAAAGGGAGCTTAATAGTCATTTTATGATGATTTTCAAACTATTATGGTACTCCTTATAGAAGTAGGTGTGCTTTGATTATTTTGCTCTTCGTTTCATTTTTATTGATGAGTTCAAAGCCGCTTTCCAATTTTTCATTGGATGCAATTGATTGCTGAAATTCACATTTCCGGCAATTATAATATTTCATACCGATGAATCGGAGCATATCAGAGTAACCAGCGACTTGATGCTTGACCGGCTTTTTGTCATCTGCATCATATCAAGTTTTGAGTTGTTTAGAAGGAACCATTGAGAACAATACTGATTGATACTACTACTATGTCGTGGAGATGACTTTGTGTATCATTCAGTATTATTTGATGAATGTATTGTGACTGGTGCCAATTTTACTAATCGTTTGGTATTCACTACTGAATATTTCTCTGAGTGCTTGGTAATAGATCGAAGCCAGGAGCTTGAGAAATTTGTCATGAAATTATGAGGAATTTGTCAATATATCCGAGGGATATTCAGCGGAAAATAATTTGATGTTGTCAAAGTAGATCGTGTTGTCATAATTGTACTGAATGCAGTTATAGAAATTTATTTTCAGTTAAATGTTCGTCTGATTGGCTAATACTGGTCACTTGGTCACAAATACTTATAGATATGATAGGTTCAAATTACGTGGAAAAATGTGTCTAACTATATAATGCTTTAAAAAAACACGCCCTTTCTCCAAACACTATTATATGTTTGGTTTTAGGTATAGGTTTGTCTTATAGGAGGGTATGAAATATTCTTAATTTAGTATATATAGTTTATAATTCCATTAGTGTCATCATCGTTCCCTTTCTCTTGCCAACTCCGTCAATTCAATCTTGCGTAGATAGATTGATCAAGGCCCCTGGCCTCCTCTAAATTAAGCCCTTATATAGGGCATCACATGCGAGTAGATGATTCACTCTTGGGGAGATGTTTAAATCACCGTAAATTCCTAATCCCAATTTGTTTCGATTTTAAATCTGGGTCATAAATGTATCGCTAGATCTGCTTTGAAAGCCACCCCTGCATGCTTGGATTTCACGATGGTTTCACGTGTTCCTTTTGATGAATATTCTCATGAGACATCAGTTTGTATCTCTTCCTCCAATAGAGATTTGTGGAGTTGTTTTAAGTATCAGGCATACCTATACCGTTTTTTATCTGTGGATATCACTAAAAAATGTAGGGAAGGATTCCTTGTGATATTTTTTCGTACTCATGAGAGTATTTCATTAAATTGTTGGCGACTGATGAATATTTATCTGAGACATCTGATACGGATAAGGAAAATTTTAGAACAATTTTTAAATTTAGCTCCCATATTCCATATACGCACAAGATGCGCACATAGATGTCAAGTTTATAGGACAGCTGTTACAATTTTTTGTTGCATGCAGAAAATGGATCCAGACCTATTTTCATTGCGACCATTCGTTTATTAGTGGTGACATTATTCTAGTGATAAGATGAATTTTCGGTATATTTTATACATAATTCATTGTTATTATTCTTGTGTAGAAGTCCATGGTTTCTCAAAGTGGAATCAAGTATTGAATATACAATTTTGTTGTGGTACCAGCCTATATATGTTCTGCTTCTAGCTATGATATATAACTCACCTATTATTTTTGTAATTCGTGAAATATGAAAACAATCTCAATTTACGCATTCCTCCTACTTTTTCTCCTTTTATAGAATACAGATACAGATTGGCTGCATTTCTATATTCCAGCACATCAAACCTGGAATCTAAGTAGGTATCATGAGCAATTCATAATTTTCATTCGAATTTGTTTCAGTCCAAGACTTGTTTAGTTCTTAACTTACTTTGATAAGTACTATAATAACAGCTGAAAATCAATATTTTCACGTATCACACTGATTGACATGTTCACCATAATTGACAACAAAAAAATTGGCTGGAATGAAATAGACTTCTGACAGTTGACAACGGGACTTTGCCGTAGATAGAAAAAAATATCCCCTGTATCCTGTTTACATGTAAGCTATATGTTGTGAGGTGGTGA